TTAGTTTGGATGCTTCGTTTACTTCGACTTTGATTTCATGATTCGAATATTTTGCCTAGGGATCCTGAATCTTGAGTCCTAAGCCTGAAGCCCCCTACTATTGAGTCGTAAACTCTAAATATAATATATATAATATATTATATAGAAGAAGAATATGGCAAAATATATATCTTCATTGAACGAAATCCTCTCCATGAGGATTGAATTCGAATTCCAATTGATTCTATTGATTTTCTATTGGATCAAAAGAAATACCTGAGAGGAATTGGAGTTTCTATTTCTCTCAAATCAATGGTATCTCTCATATATCTTCATTGCGGAGAAGAAAGAATCTGATTCCGTTCGTAGGAACGGAGATCTAATTTAATTGGCGACCTAATAATGAAGGCTACTGCTTATTTTGAATATTATATAGTAATTGAATTCATTACTTTATAAAAATATTATTCCTTTGGAATCTCATGATCTATAATATGGGGGAATGATATTTCGGCATTTCGCATTTGATATATTCCTTTGTTTAATCCCAATATCTATATGATCTAAAATATCTTATATGAGAGCCGAAATTTTTCAATATTTTCAATAATTTTTTTCATTCATATGAACAATATTTATGATCCTATTTATAATATTTCAAAGGCTTTTGATATATACTGAATGAATCTCAATCTTAAAGATTAAGTCTCAAGCTTTTGGTCCTCTATTTTCATTTCTCGGATTAAATTCATTTTTAATTTGATTATGAATTTATAGGAGAATTATCTGATTATAGGTTCGTCATATTTTCTTATAAGAATCCCTTGCTGAGATCGTCTCTTATTGAAGGGAGGTCGCAGATCCTAAATTTCTTTTTCCCATTGCCAATAAGATTCATTTCTTACTTTTGAATAAATAGCTAAAAATATATTTCTCAAATCTAAAAGAATAATTCTGAGATATAAGGCTCCTAGTATTCATCATAAAAATCCCTTCTAGAATGCGTTATAAAATCTAAATATGAGAATTCAAATTCAGATTTGTCGCGTATTTTATCAAGATTTCATATATAGCAAATTGAGGAGAATAGGAGCCCAAGATTTCAGAATTATTATATATTGTCTATATAGCAATTCTAGGAAATATTGAAAATACGATATGCTTTTTCCGTAATGAATATATATAGCCACGATAAGTTTGCTCCGATAATAGTTCTAAGTCCTGTCAACATATGAAAAAAAAAGGTATTCTATCATTGATATAAATTTATATATTGATACTAATTCATAATTCTGGTAGTTATAGCGATGAAGAAGAAAAGAAGAATAATGATAAGAGAAATATTTCTTAATAGTATAAAGGCAACGGTAAGGGCGGTCATCATAATAATAGTAAATATAAGAAAGATATTAATGATATTAATAGAATGATAGTGAGGGATATATGCCAAGCAATGATGAATATATGATATATTTCAAATATTTTTAATGAAACTATGACGCGCATGAATAATCCCCTCTCTGTTGAGATTTGCCGCTATTTTCCAGTTCTTGCATGGACGTAGGAAATTTAATATAGTCCAAAACGCAGCGACAGATTTCCCCCCTATTTTTGAATATTTCTCATCGCTTCAATTTAATATATATCTAGAATTATTTTCATTATGAAAAATCTCATCAATTTGATTCATATCCCCCATTATATCTCATAATTTCTATTTTTCAATATATGCAATCGTTTCAATTTCATATTCCTCCAGAAGCTCAAAATATATCTCTCGCAATTTTTATTTTTCTATACGAATATCTTTTTCAATTTCTCTCATATCATCGATAAAAATTAAAAAAATATATCATCCTTTTTCATTTTCAAATATCGTAATCATTTTTTTAAATATATTCCGAGAAATTCAAAATATATATTTCGAAAATTTTCTTTTTCAAGATTCATAATCTTTCTAATTTAGGGATCTTCGAAAAATTCAAAGATATATCTCAAAAAATCAATTTATCAATTTTTATATAATTTCGATAAAGATTCTTTCTCGCATTTCTTTTTTTTGGGATCCCAATTCGGCGATAGATGACGATTTTGAATTCATATTTAGAGATCTAAAAATTTGAAATTTATTTTGAAGATTCAAATTAATTAGATTCTTTCAGAAAAAATATCGTAAGATAATTGATATTCTCTCTTATTGATATTTCAGAAATCTTTAAATCTAATTCTCCAATTTCTTCTAATTTTTTCATATTATCCGAGAAATTTCAAATATCAATCTAAAAATGATTTCTTTTAATAAATTTGAAAATCTTTTCTAGATTCTTCCTATTTTATTTCATGAATATCATAATAATAATATATATCTATAAGATTTTCTTTATCTAATATCTATAATTTCAAAAAATCTTCCTAATTATATTATATATATTCAATAAATCTATCTTATCTCTATATATCTTATTTTATTTCATATATCCTAAGAATAGAAAATTATCATATCTCAAATATTCTATTTTTCAAATCTATCATTTTTCATTTTATATCATACATTTTGAAAAATATCAATAATTTCAATTTTTCATATCGCATATTTTCCCAATCTCTCCTTTCATTGAAAATATTTTTTCAAAATATTTAACGATTTATCCAATTCATTTTTTTATATCTTAAAAAATTCAATATATCTATTCCCAATTTTCATCATTCGAATCAATTAAATATTTATTATCTTCCAATAATCTATTTCTAAATTCCCGCAATTTTTAAATTTTCAATACGATCAAATTCTAATTTATATCATGAATAATGATATTATTTAGATTAATTCTTCAAGAATTCTTAATATATATTATGAAAATAAATTTCGATATTTAGATCTAAATAATTTTTTTAGAAATTCAAAGAGATGAATCTGAATAATATTCCAAAGAAATCATAATGAGAGACGATCAATATCTATTCAAAGAAGGCAAGACCCAATTATCATATTTTGTTCATCTCATTTCCTATATATAATATTTGAGAAAATATAATATCAATAATATAAAAGCAAATAGATAATCAAATCAGATATCTTATTTTCCAATATTTTTTCTTATCAAAGAAAATCATCAATCCTTAAAATCCGTTTTAGAATTGATCCGTTACCTACAACAACGGAAAATAGATATTTGAGAATTCCCATAATGAGAAGCTGCTAAACAATCAATATATAAGATCGCGCGTGAATTCCGATGAATAAAATCGCGCGTGATAAAAACGACCAAATTACAGATTCTGAAAAGCTTTAGATCTCTGCCTCGAATATATTCCACCGAAATCGTATAAACAGCCGAACAAGAAAAATAATTTGAAATCTCGGGAGATCTTTAATCGAGTAGCTCCGCATCCGACCCGGACTTTCTATTTCATTTATCTCTCTTTGATTATCTACGCAACGGCTCGAGAGGATGCATAACTCCTCGTAGATAAATATATCCAATTTCTAAATTCTGAAAGATTTTAATTTTCTATCCCGAGAGTAGACGCTCCGCCGAACCACCGCGCAGATAAATAGAGAGATAAATCACGCGGAAAATAAAAGACCGCATATGAAACACTCCCCATATCCGGCCCGATCTTTCCTTCTCATTTATCTCTTTTTGCGTAATCTGCGCGACGTATCGAGAGAACATATAAAGCCCCCCTTGCGCGAAGACAACCAATCTTCAAATTCTGAAAGCTTTTAGTTCTACATCCCGAATTTATATGCTCAGAATAGCCACGCAAATAATCAAAGAGATAAAATAGACCAAATAATATCGTATATAATTTCGATAAATATAAGACCACCTGTAATAAAAACGATCGAATTATAGATTCTAAAAATTTTGAATCTCTGCCTCCCATATATTCCATCGCATACGCGCAATCGATCTAAGAAAGAAATAATTCGGAATCTCGAGAAATTTTTAGTCGTCCCCCCGTAGCCGATCCAATCTATCCGTATCATTTATCTTTCTAATATTATCTGCGCGGCATCTCAGAGAATCGCATAAAACCCATATATAAATTCAATCTATCATCTTCCATCCTCGGTCTATCCGTTCCATTTCCGACCAGCCGCACTCATAGCGAACCAAAAAAATCAAACAGAAATTCGCGTAATAATCGCGCCGTAATATTGCGGTATTCACGAGAAAAAAGAATCGTTGCACAATTTCTATTTATCATAAATTCAAATAGATCTTCCAGAATATCTCTTTATCATTCCGAAATTTATACTTTTCAGATCTATTCAAATAAAAAATCAAATCTATCATTCCCGCGTTATATTACGAAAGAGACGAATAGAAATCAATAATGATCGTATATATTTCGATTTATTTGGGGATATTAGATTCAAATCAAGAACCTTCAGCCGCATCCATCCCGCAAATTGGGAATCGGACAGGCCCTCTTGCTGACTTTCAGGCTTTCCAACGGCGAATCATTCCATGATAGGAATTCTCGATCCTGGCTGTGCGGGTGCCCTGCCCCTCGTCCTTGTCCCTTATTAATCAGCAGAAATTCCAATGGCCCGAAAGGAGAATGAAGACAAAAGCGGCTAGCCCTAAACCCTAAACCCCAAGCTTAACTTATCAATCTCCGCGAATCCAGCAAAATCCGCCACCAACTATCCGCTCATGCCATTGATCGTTACTGTATTTGGCTGTTTCGTTTTCCTTTCGGCAAGGCTTTGGGTTTAGCGGCTGCGCGAACTCCCGCGCGTGTGCTATGAAGTTTTTTCAACTTCAGCACCCGCATGAGTCTAGAAGAGCATGCAGACAGAAACTGCAGCTAGTGCGTGCGCCGCTCCCTCAATCATTTATGTCATCGCCGCAGTGAAGTCTTGCAATGATTGGAGTAACTGTTCCTGTCTGGAAGCTAGCTTGTAGCTTTGTGCTGCGACTGGTGTGAAACGCTACGTTCAACGTAAATAGCAAAAGGGTGCCTGGGATTTTCCACCATCACAGGCCATTAAGAAAGTGTTAAACAGCTCAGTCGACTCGGTCGACAGGCATGGCAGGCGTGCCTAGCAGCGGGAGCTTTGGCAACTTTTGCCACGCAAGTACTGCGACACTAAATGCTGGGATTGAAAATACCAAGCCCGCAACAATCCGCATATTCGGAAAGATTACGAGGAAAGCTACAAAATCCACAGTTACGAAGGACAGATAGATACAAACCGCAACAAGTATGAGCAGACAAGACATCAACAAATCAAACACTTCGTTGCTCCTCTTTTTTCGCATGAAATATGCCACTCGGAAGCATAGCAGGATAAGGGTCGGGGACATAGCCAGCCAGTAGGTGAATCCACGCATCATGTTATGCACGGCTAGCAGGCTTTTGCCCTCCAACATCCACGTAGACGCAAGGTCCAGGTGTGCCCACAGCAGGGGCGCAAGGGATGTGATCAACTGTCTGTAAGATAAGACCTGACACGGACGCTCCATGGCATATGCTGCAAGGTTGCCATGGAAGATCTATGCCCCTGTAAAACGCATCTCAAGACCAGGCTTACCTAGAGGTCCAGGTGTAGTGCTTGTTACCGTTTCTCCCTGGTGCTTCGTCGGGAATGGGGGAATGGATCCCCATAGTAGTCCCTATATAATCCCCCAAAATAATCCCTATAATCCATTCCCCCCTTCCCCCCTAAGCACCAGGGAGTTGTTTTTTGGTCATCTTCTTTTTCCAGCCGGTGAATCCAGGCCGAAAAAGCAATTATACAGAAGCTTCCACAAATATTTGGCAAACCCTTTAACTGCATACTTGCTCCGCACCGGTTTAGGGTTTAGGTTAGACCAGCCCTAGGCAAAGTGACTTCCAAACAGGGCCCGCTTAAGGATATACTACCATCCCTGAGCCCGGCTCTCAGTACTTTGTCTATTGGGATCATATTGGGAGTATATTAGGGTAATATTGGGGTCATATTGGGATAATGGAAAATTTAATGGAAGCTACTATTTAGGGTTTAAGGTCTTGAGGGTGCAGGGGCGAGCAGTAGTTACTTATCAGCCTCGTAAGAACCAAGTGGACTGGGAAGGCTGCAAGGAACCATCATGCCATCCATAGCCACCTGAAACAAACCGTCAGAAACCCAGAAACCAAACAAGCCTCAGTCTCAAGTCCAAAACCCTTAGTCCTCCCAAGCCCCAAGCATTTCACCCGCATCGCCAAACCCTAAACCCTAAATCATAAATAGTAGTTTCAATTATCTTTTCCATTATCCCCTATATAACCCCCCTAAAGCTCCACCCGTGTATAACCCGTATATTGCCCCTAAAAACTGAACTTCCCCCGCAAAGGACCTGGGTACTGAGCTGGTGAACCAGGATCTGCAACACTTCTGATCGAACTCGATGCTCGAAGGTCTGCACAGTGCCGAACCATGTGCGGATGCACTGCAGTATGATCTTTCCTAAAACAGTCTGGATTGCTGTTGAAGAATTTAAATGAAGCTACGATAGTGAGGAAACCTCATCATTTACTTTTTGGCCATATTAAGTTAACTTAATTCAAGTTCGTTAACAGCAATCCTGTAAAAGTAATTTGGGGAGGCACCCTTGCCCGAGGGGGACGTAGGGATTAGGGCTGAAAATGGAAGGCTCAAATCTGTCCAAGTTGCGGTCGCAAGCAAATGTCTCCCCAGTCGCTGGGTCTGTGTGATCTACGGAACAACAATAACTCTTCAACTTGTCGACGCTGAAGACTGCAATCTCATCGTGCACCTTCTCCACGGCCCGGCAGTATGCTCGACCCATGTGAGCAGTTACTAAGAAAGCCGAGCTTGACACTAAGCAAATAAAGCCTAAGAAAGTGCCCTGTACCTCCAGAGACGGCTCATCCCAACCAGCAATGCCCCAAGCAAATGTGTTGATCAGTGTCACCAGGATGAGGCTGCAAATGGTGATGAGAAACAGTGGGCCCAAAAGCGTGGGTCTGATGGTCAGTTTCAGCTTCATGCCTCTCTGACGGCTGTGCATGAAGGCAGCTAGCTCAAATAAGGTCCATAGGCGCTCCATATAGGTCGGATCCCACAGTACTAGCATTGAATCTGCACATTTCAAAAAAGCGCCCAGACTGATCAACGCTTCCCCTTTCAGCTGCTCATCTGTTTGACTGATGCAGATCCGGTCCAGGAATACCAGCTGTCGGCTTCGCCAGAAGACCAATGTGAAGAAGTACGTGGTGGCCCCAATAACTGAGCACCAGCCCGCACCGAAAAGGTTCGGCAGGACCCCATAGCCGTACAGGAACGCGGACAGCACTGCAGCGGCTGAACCAAGAGTGGTTGCTGCCGCACCATTGTGCACAAAGAAGAGCGTGGCAATCCTGGGTTGCATTTGAAGAACTGAATTTGAGTTGCTGTATTAAGGAAACCCTATTAATTACTCTATATATATATACACACACACACACATAATTACACCCAATTTGGTAACTGAAATTATGTTCCTTAACAGCAACCCATGAATCTTCAGCAGGGTAGATCCATGCCAGCTATGCGACCAAAAGCAGGCGATCCGGGTGGATGGGCGGCTCCGCCCATAAAACTCCTTATTGTGCTTGTGGTGAGTCATGGATCCCTACAGCAATCCCTACACTCCCTATCCAAATAATAGAAGTTTCCGTTTCAAACCTTCATTCTCTGCTCATCACCAACAAGATTCCCCGAAGCGCGAGCGAAACGGAAAACCGAGACCTCTTAGCCCCTCGAAGGCAGGGGTGGCCCGCAAAATCTCCGCCCGCGTCGGCTCCATGGAGGCAATGACGCTGCCGAAGGTTTCCTCGAAGTCCTCAAAGTCCTGGTTTGGATGGGGTTGGTGGTTTAGGTTGGGTCCTGCACCCTCCCATTAACAGGTCTATAACCGGGGCCATATTAAGGACTACACATATTTGTAGTATAGACACTTAAGTAATCCAGATCCCTGAACTAAAGCATCAACCCTAAACCCTAAATCCTCTTATTAACCACCCACAATCTCAAAACCAACCCCCCCATCACCTGAAGACTAGTCCCAATACGAAAAACACCTTCATTTTGATGATTTTTCTATCATCAATCACACCCCCCCCCCCCCGCAATAGGATCTAACTGTTACTGGGCGGGGGCAGAAGCCAAGTCTTAGGGATTCTGCGGACCATTGCAAATGAAAGCTGTGTTCTTATTTGGGCTTTGTCTGGATAATCATAAACATGCAGAACCCAACCCCCCTGAACCCTAAACCGTAAATCCCAAAACTCTAAACCAGAAACCCTAAACCCCAAATCCCAAAAATCTAAACCAAAAACCTTAGAACCCTGAAGCCCAAAACTCTAAACCAATCACCCTAAACCTCTAAAGCCCTCAACCCCTAAACCCCTAAAACCCCTGAACCTCAAAGTCCTCCACGAGACCATCCTGTGAGGGCCCATCCTCCTGGTCTACGGAAATGCCTATCACCTGCATCCTAGGGATCTGTGAGCCACTGCTACGGTTTAGGGCTTAGGGTTTAGGGGGTTCAGAGTTTAGGGTTTAGGATTTAGGGTTTAGGGGTTACGGGGTTCAGGGATTGAGGGTTTGGGCGTCTAGGGTTCAGGAGTCAAGAATTAGGAATTAGGGTTCAACATTGAAACTCCAGGCCTTGATGCGAACAACTCTGGTGGCCAGGGTGGTTGCGGGTGTAGGCGGGCAGATTTAGTAGTGGCAGTTGCCGGAGGAACGGCAAGCACGCATGCACACACAAAACTGTCAATGCTGGTGCACCAATGTCACTTACTTGTAGGCTAATAAAGCTGGGAAAAACTACTGCGTGGTGTTACCTAAACTCTGAACCGACTTCATGGCAGTTTTTACTGCCTTTTTAACAGAGCCAGCTCATGGCGATGCCAACTTCCAAGCGGCGTTTGCGCTTCAAAATTGTCTATGCCACAGCCTGGGCTTTGAGCCCGGAAAGGTGAGCTTGAAACCTTACACCCTTCAATCTTGAGTCCTACAGCTTATAGCGCAGCATCCAAAATTTTTACAATAATCAATCATAACAATGGTAATACCAATGTTAATCATAATAACAATAATAAGAACAACAATAAAACCAATAATAACACTAATGATAATGACGATCATCATAATTATCAATCATAACAATGGTACTACCAATGTTAATCATAATAACAATAATACGAACAACAATACAACCAATAATAACAACAATGATAATCACGATCATCATAACAATAATAACTTTGAGCCAAGGCCCAGGCCGCTTTCCCAGAGTCTCAGTGCGTGCACATCCGGAATTGACAGTGTCCAAAAGTTGGGGGTCCCTCTTCGGGCATCCTTCTATAAACCCTGTAATATATTATAATATTATATAGTACATTACAGCATAATATAGTATAGTATGGTATATTGTACAAGACTCCGGATCTTAGGTGCGATGTTGAGGCTCCCGTAATTTGGAAACTAACACATCCGGCGCCAGTGCTGAGACCTGATGCACAGTGGGGCATCTCCAGTTTGGGGTTCCTAGGTTGTAGCAACTTGGAACACGAGAGCTTCACACCGAGGGGTCCTTTGGAATGTTGACTCACTTGAGCTATGAGCTTGTTCTGGTCGAGCAAGGGAAAACAATGCTCTTCCTATGGTATGAAAACGGAGGATCATGCAAATGCTCTCTCAGTCTTAGGGTGATTCTATCCCTGTGTAGCATTCCGTGGTTTGTATTGGAGAGGTGTCCCTTCTCGTTTTGGTGCCCTACGTGCTTTCGATAATGTGCTTCTGCGCGTTTAATACAATCTTCTTGTTTGTTGCTACCGCTGCTACCTCGCATATGTCCAATGACTGCTCTTCCCTGATTTTAGTGTCAAACAAGTTCGTCTAACATGTCACGCGACACCGAATCTTGCGGGGACAGCAGTGTCATGCTTGCCGCTTTGTTGCTGCGGATTTCCCTTCCAACGCGTTTTCCATCTAGGACTGCCGCAAGGAGCTAGCAGCATAAGGTTCGCGAAGCGCTGCAAAGTTTTCATGGCTCATGTGGACGCACGCACAGTGCTAAGCACCGCCCGCGAAGCATCCTCGGTCCATGTAAGCATGTGCGCGTATTTTTTCGACGATCGCGGGGCCTTTGTTGGGACACTTTAGTATCTAGATGCTTGGCTGGAAATGCGGGATTGGCTCCGAAATTGTCCCCATTGCGGACATTTTGGGATACTGAAATGGCTGGTACAAGGATGAGAAGGAACAACAAGTCCGTGCCAGAGGCGGCTCTCGCAAAAGGTGTATACAATAAAGCAACCAGAAAAACTCAAGGGAAACTCGGGTTCATCTAGAATCAAGGGCTCGTAGGCAGAAACCTTGTACAGTACTACACACAAAGCCACAAACGAAGCAACAATGCCGACAGGCAGCTACAACAGTAGAAGAGTAGAGCTAGTGAAGATAAAGCTCACCTGCACCTACTAGCATTAGTGGCAGCACTTGGGATTTGTCAAGCCTATCTTCCCCAAACCTTCAACCCTAAACCATCACCCCTAAGCACTGAACCCTAAAGCCTATAGTCCCCCTTACGTAGATAGAATATGGGGCATATGGGGATCTTATTGTAATATACCCAAAGCCATATTCTATCTGCTTAAGGGGGATTATAAACCCTTAAAGCCTAAAGCCTGTACTGTATGCCTTCGCACTCCACCTTCCCAGCCGTTTGCCATGATTTGGACCGCGTCTGCGGAAAGGCCATGTCTGTACACCCCACGAACGATGAACTCTCCATAGAACCTCCCCAGACCGCCTCTGAACCCTGCAAACCTTTAATATCAGCTCTGAACCCTGCAAAAACTTCTCTGGAACTCTATAAAAAATCTTTGCAAACCCCCTGTCCCTCCTATCTCTATATGCCCTGCATACACCTCTACAAAACCTTTATGAACCCTCCAGACAGTCCTTTAGAAAACCCTTCGAAAACTTCTTGAACTTTTTCATGGAATAGCCGTCCTTGAACAGATCCCATGATTTGGAGAAAGCTATTAGACCAAAGGGCTTGGAGACGTGGAGCAGCTCTGGGCTACCTTCCGACTTGTGGTCTGGGGTTCAGGATTTCGGGTGTCGGGTTTCGGGTTCAGGATCTAGAGTGTGGGCCTTAGGGCTTAGGATTTAGAATGTAGGGTGTAATGCAGGGTTCAGGGTTTGAAGATGTCTCCCTTCAAGCTGGCTTTCACGTTGGGATCTATAAAGCATGGGGTTTGAGGTCACGTTCCTGGAGTGCCAGGACGACCCTCTGCAAGTCTTTCTTTAAACATATTTGGGACTTGACCTACATTACGGTCCCTGAAAGGGGGAAATTTCTCAAGGGACCGGAATCATGATAGGAACCCCGCTATAAACAAACTCCGTAGCAAAGTGAATTCAGGGAAATCGCCTTTTGGGCTTAAGCAAGTTTAGTTTGGGACAAGCAAATAGCGATTCGTTGCATTTCAGACATCATTCACCTATTCATGTGGGTTCCTGATCGGAAAATTGCTTGGCTGTACTCTGCGCCAGTGATTAGTAGGAGCAGGAGATGAATCACTGGGATCAGCAGTATACCATGGCAGGCCACTGATCACCTAAACCCCAGGATACCAAGCCCCAAGCGGTCATGAGTCAAAAGTGCCAGTTGCAGGCAGGCTGATGATGAGCTACAGTCTCCTGCCTAGAACAGAACATACCCAAAACCCGAAACCGTGAACAGGGCAAACAGATACGCTGCCAGCCAGCCTGCGCTTCGCGCGTCTGCGGTGAGCCCATTTGTGCCAAGCCCACTCTTGCCTTGGATCAATGCTGATAGTCGGAGAGCTTCGTGCTTCAAGGCTAGCACCCCTAGAGCCAAAAGTCCTTGAAGACTGAAGTCCCAGAAACACCTGGTCCTAAACTTTGAACTTCTGCTGTGGAGTCCGGGCACTGCTGAGAGGTTCTGCAGGCTTTAGGACACCGTTTATACTTCAGCTGTCCGCCTGACCAACGCCAGCACATGTCCTTTGCTGCGCTTCAGTCCTAACATGGTTATGCATGACTGCGAGTTAAGTACATGTAAGTACTGTGTCACCAAAGGGCTTCTGAACAGTCCGAGCAATGCAACAACATGATTAATCACTTCGACGACTGTCTTCATCAGCTGGGAGATCACCTTCTTCAGCGATCGTAACAGTGCATTCTGAAGGGTCGCACTGCAGGGTGAGCTTGGCATCAGACAACGGGAAGCATGCCGTGAGCCCGCAGGTCTCTTTTCTTAAGTCATCTGGTATGGAGACGTTGTGCACCGGAAGGTCCAGAACTAAGCTGTCGCAATCCGTCGAAGATGGCGCCGAAAGATCGAGAAGGTGACAGGCCATTCGCTTCACGGCCTCAAAAACGACCTGCAAAGCGTCTCAACATGGAATTCCTCACGTGCATGCTGGCAGGGCTGCGATCGAACGCCCTTGCGGGACTGTAATCGAGGAGCGTAAATAATTGGCGAAGGGTTTTGAGGTACGGTATGGCATACTATATACCTAATAGGACTTTACGAGCAATGATATTGGTAACTATTCAGGCTTCAACACTACCCACCTTCCTCTTGGCGGTGCCTGTGTTGACGGCGTGAGCATGGAACCAGGCAGACTCGGCTTTCTCCCAACAATTGTCGTGTGCCGAACACACGGAAGTCAAGCTCACCTGAACTCAAAAATCCTAAGCCCACGAAGAAGCTCAAAAAACCTACATCCCAAACCCCCAAAACCCTTAACCTTTAAGCCCAAACATCGGAGAACCCACCTGAAGTTCGCAGAAGCGTTGCTGGAACTCCCCCCGCGCAGGCTCGCAACTGCTGGCGTCGTCTTTCTTGCGCTTACCCTTCGGAATCCACCTCAGGGCTTCCATGTCCGGCCGTCGGGCTGCTTCTTTCGGGTTTGCTGGGCTGTACTTGGTGCTCAATCTTTTTGCACAAGGGTCTTTCTACCTGCCGGTTAGAAGAATTGCGAAGTAGAATGCGAAGTGTATTGCATGGCCTGCAGACCTCGCAGGTAAAAGTCTGCAAATCCAGATGAGGTTTGGTATGTCGAAGACTCTTACTCTTACTGGTATGTCGAAGACTCTTACTTGTCTCTGAAGGACCGAAATATGAAACTACGTCAAGACTGTGGAGAAACCTATGCACGAACACTTGATCTCCACACGTGGAACCGGGCCACGGCCACCCTTCTCCTGTAGTCTCTGGGGTTTGTGATGAGGTGATGGTCCATGTCTCGCAGTCTTTACGCTTCTCCTGCAGGTTTCTCAACACTGGGTTTTGGGCTTCAAGCTCGACTTAGTCTTTTCACGACCTCTCCTCGTTTACAGAACAGTCCGTCGAGGAGCCGCCTTTTGCCAGAAATGGGGGTAGACGATGAGGACTCTAGATTTGGGTCCGGGTTCACGGAAGGTTGAGGATGCACTGCCTAGGCCAGGTAAAGTAAGGCACCTTGTTTCATCTTGCAGGTTGATTCCTCGGGCATTCTGCTTGGGGTCCAAAAGTCAAGGCGGTGCTGGGCTGTAGGCAGCTCGCAGGCCGAAGAAGCCCAAGGACATCATAGTCATCTACACCTGCTGCTCTGTACAAATAAAGTCGAGAGGAATCCATTTTGTGTGCTCCTGGGTGCACCGCCCTGCAAGCATGAGCACGAACACAATGAATCCCAAGACCGTCGACGGCTTTGAAAGACCCTGGACACCCAGAAAAGCTATTTAATTCCACGATGCATCCACTTCTAAACGTCGAGCCCTCAAAGCTCCTGGCCAAGAGTGGTTGAGTCCATGTTGTTTGTTTCCACTAAGAACCCACAGCCGAGACATGAATATCGCAGGTTCAAGAGGCGCCAAGACCAACAAACAGCAACCATAAACCAGTGACTAACAGCACCACTAAATGACACATGCAGAAACCTGAAGCTGTAAGTGGGCCCAGTTGCAGTTCAGCTGGGTCTTTGCGCACCGATCTGGCCCGAGCCCACTATTCTTCTTGCAAGCATGCGGGCTCTTACCTAGCAGCTTTCTGGGAGCATTTCATGAGTGCATGGTTGGGGCTCCCTCGCGCGGAGACTGGTAAACACATTCTTGGACTCATTCACTGTTGCCTTTGCAGGATATTGGAATGCTCGGAAAGAAAATCTTGGTCCCTCTTCGGATGCTTGATCTCCAGGTTTCAAAATTTTCATGACAGGAGCTCCACTTTTCTGTGAGTCCTTCAGATCTGTTGGAGCACATAGATTCACCAAATACTAGATCCATACAACTTGGGCAGGTGGAATCTATATAAGCAGTCTTCGAGGTTCTGCTTTTGTTGTTGTAGCAGGAGAAGGCACAGGAGAAGCGGTGGCAGCAGTAGCCGCAGCAGTGGCAGTGGCAGTGGCAGTGGCGGCAGCAGCAGCGACAGCAGTAGCAGCAGCCCTAGCAACAGCAGGAGCAATAGCGGCAACAGTAGCGGCACATCGCGCGCCGCAGCAACAGCAGCTGCTGAAGCAGCTGGAGTTATCGTCGTTGTTGTCTTCCGCATTGTGGGAAAAACGCGGTACTGCTCTCTCTAGTCAGCATCAGCATCAAAAGCACCAGCAACAGTAGCAACAACAGCAACAGAACAAGCAACAGCAGCAGCAACAGCAGCGGCAGTGGTGCCGACACCAAGGAGGTACCACAACTAAGACAAGCACCCTTCTTTCTGCATTTGCGCGCGGTCTCCGCGTGCTGCACCATCGGCGAAGCACTGCCAAGCTCTTTGGTCAGGGTCTCCCTGAGACGCTCCTGCAGCGTGGCGTGATATATAAGCTGTATACTCTCAAGGCTTGGGTCGGTGGTCTGCTGGCGCTGGCAGGCAGATTAATCAAGCATGCGCGGCTGCCGTTGAGAATGCATTTCTTGCTACGAAGACAAAAAGACCAAACGGTATACTGGGTACACACCGGTGCTTGCAATGTTGCGTACTTAAGAGGCCAGTGCGTTGCTGATGTAAAGATTTGTTCTGAGCCTCTCTGGGGAGTTTTACTTCAGATATCAAGTGAGCAAAACAGGCTGACCACGCACCAAAAATGAGGACCAACCTTGCCCAAACGAGAAACTGGGCTCCAAGAACTCTGTTTAAGATAGGGAAACCCATGCGCGGGGTGGGGCGGGGCAGGGGCGGGGTTGGGCGATATGAGAACTAATTAGGGCCCCTCAAGGGAACGCCCCAAGTCTGCAACAATACGTATATGACTGTGTGCTGTACCTGTATGTATTTACAGAGTCACTCATGAATCTATATCGTCCTTGGCTATTGTAGTGGCTCAAGGCACACGACCAAGTGCTTACTGTAGAGCAGCCGGAGGATGATTACGGTCTTAGCTTTCTAGCTTGTACATCTCCACCGAGATTACCCGGGCCTGCTACAATGTCTGGTGCAGTAGCGGAGCTCGGTCGGTGGAGACCGGGTACTCACTGGAAGGCTGCACTAGCGGGCGGCGAGCCGTACCGAGCTTGCCTACCTAGTGTGCACCAGCAATGTCTGATTCCGAATCAGGTCCAGTCGGGCGATGATTCGTTGGAAGAAGTTGAAGCGGAAGAGGATCCTGAACCCGGATTCCGCCACTGCCCAACGTGTCTGGAAAAGCCGACGTACGAACGCCCGGGCTCTGCCTCAACCGCATCCGGCACGAGGTGTGTTCGTACTAACGAAAAGAAACGACCCGCAAAAAAGTAACATGAAAAACCTGAAAAAGGTGAGCGGTACACTTACGAGAATGCAAGTGCCACTGCAGCGTCTTCCGTCGAAAATGCGGTGATCTATACTGCAACGTACGTATTAATATAAATCCTGCAGCAGCCTGTAACTGCCGCCTCAGCTACTTACTTTTCTGGACAGAGAACACGTTTCCCTGCTGATCACTTCGGACCAGATGGACGCATTCGCATCCTTTCAGAAGTTCTTGCAAGACGAGGTGAACAATTACACGGAGTCAACCTCTGGCGCGACTACGCGCACAACGAATTTTCCTAAGACCAATGGCATGTATATACTTCTTTGAGCCAAGGAAGATGTACACTTCTCAATTGCCAACATCCTGGAAGCTCAAATCTCAGGCCCGCAAAAGGCACAAAAGAGGTACAATGTCACAACTTCTGCGTGACGACCCGAAACTGCGCCTAGGAGCCTTTGATTTCGGACCTATATGCAAACATCCTCGATGTTTGGCGGGCAACAGTAGTTGCCTCTAGAGTTTGCTATGCATCTTAGACTCCTACCCAGGAATGCAGCTCATGTGGTCATAACTGTCAACACTGAAGGACTTGACCGTTACGAGTCTCTATTAAGGGAACACCATTTAAGAGGCTTAAACGTCTCACTGTCTGAGCCCTCGCCCAGTATTTTCCTTGGCTGAGAAGCGATCACACTAGTGTCGTTCAACTGTTGTCGAGGCTTAAACAGCAAAGATCCTTTTTCACGCCTCGGCCAGACATCAAGACTGGTAAGGCTTCGACTCAGAAGCTGAAGACCTGGCGGTCCCTTTTCCCTGCTGGCCAGGATGATTTACGGCATACCAACCGCTGATGCTGTGTGTCCAACTTCTCAACATCATAGCAATACGGGCAATCTATTGCGCGCGGCTCAGTATGCAAATTGACGGGTAAACCATTGACAGGGTGAAGTAAGAAAATCGACACTTTCCTGCTGAGAACTATCTCCGCGAATGCTTAGAGTCGAAGTACGGTAATGACCTCTGTAGCATTCCCACATACTCATGGGATTTTCCCGATCCAAAGATAAAGGACGAGGATTTCGCGAGGTTCACCTCGAACAATGAGAGCGACTCCATATTTGTCCAGTGGCTGAATCACCAGAACGCAGTTGCGTGCAAGGTAGATGTTATGGTCTGCAAGCTTGGCGAACTTGCCTATGACTAAGGCGAGCCCGCCATCTGCTCAAAGGGCGCGAAAGGCGCACAGATCGCCGCAGTTGCATAGCAACCAACAATAATGTTGGATGCGATGATCGTCCGGCTCCAAGCTGAAGCTGCAAATGCACTGGAAAAATGCCGACATCCATATGTCTTTGGCAACGCTGATCCGTTTGCCGCACAAGCAGCCCTAGCAGCATCATCTGGCAAGAGGAACTATCCTTAAGAGTCGGGCAAGGGAGTAGCACATGACAGCCTTGTCATGTACTACCTTGCTTGGTATAAAGACTCCCAGGGCATCGCAAAAGACAAAAAATCTGTCAGAAAAGGCAGAGAAAATTGGCTATTCTTCGTTGCCACATGTGCGTACGGCGTGGCACGAAGAGGCTGAAAGGCTCAGCATACGGCCGACAAGCCAAGGTCTGTAGCGCAACTGCGCAGAGAAGCCAAACCAAAAGAGAGAGAGAGAGAGAGAGAATGAACTAGCCGCGCCAGAGCAGAGCAGGACTTAATCCTCGGACAAGCAGAGGCTTACAGACAGCAATCACCATGGGCTGTTTACGCTAGCTGCACTAGCAGTAACCTTCGTTCTTCTGATGGAACCAAGCCAAAGATACTAATCGTGGACCTGTTAACCAAGCTGAAGAGCAATCTTCAGCCCGTCAAGGCAGGTCCAGCGAGCCACCGTCTTGCAATAGCGGCAAAGGCCAAGGTCCGCCTTCAAAGGCAAAATCCAGTGCTGCGGCACTTGGGAATGCTGTACTCATAGCCAATGACCATGAGCCTGAGCCACCGACTACGGGAAACAACACGATTGACAACATTCGTGCAAAGGTGCGTCACCGCAAGGACATTGACGCGGTACTTGACTACTACGGGGAGCAAAAACATTGAGCCTGCCGGAACCCGAGTTCCACCTGACAATATGGCTGACAACGCCACCTTCCGCAGTGCAATGGCTGAGGCCATGAATCTGAGATGCATCTTGATTCATCAGCAATTTGAAGTACGTTTTTAAAATATTGCAACCATCCTAGATGGTCTTCTTATGCGCTAAGATGCGGTGTGCGCTTTACGCGCAATCCCTAGTAAGGGAGAGTCAGGACATCCTTAAGCGCATCGGTCTGGAGGCAGAACTCCAGGAGGCGCAATGTTCTCAGGCCGAACTATCAGCACCACTACGACGGCGAGACAATCAACTGAATACACTTACAAATGAAGTAAGAGAAGCGAAAGAACACCGCAGGTTTGATAAGGAACATATCTCCAAACTCGGACAAAGGATTCATCACTTCTCGGACAAAATCGATCTCCAGCGGCGTAGATTGCGATACAAGATTTCACCGGCTTTCAAATTCACTGCCCCCGCCAGCACATTCAGGTCTCAAGCACGTGAATGTGGCATTTGGGGGGGCTTATTCCCCGCCAAGTGCCTCCCGCTAGTAGTAGGTGGTAGTAGGTGGTAGTAGGTGGTGGTGGTAGTAGTAGTAGTAGTAGTAGGTGGTAGTAGTAGTAGTAGTGGTAGTAGTAGTAGTAGCAGTAGTAGCAGTAGTAGTAGTAGTAGTAGCAGCAGTAGAAGCAGTAGCAGGAGCAGCAGAAGCAGTAGCGGTAGCGGGAGCAGCAGCGGCGGCGGAGGCAGCAACAGCGGCAGCAGCTGCAGCAGTTGTTGCTGCAGCGTTCGTTGTTTGTTGCTGCTTATTATATGGTTGTTCGTCCCATTGTTCTGCTTTCATCTACTCCTCGTCGTCATCTTGAAGCTGCGTGTGGTGATGGAAGTACTGCTATCGGCACCTAGGCATTAGAATCACTAGCAGCAGTAGCAGCGAAGAAAAACGAACTAGCCCTTCCTTGGGTTAACCGCGCTGCCAAGTGCTCACACTTGAAACGGTGGACAGCAGCACTTGTGAGTCCTGCAGATGATCGTTGCAGGTCCGAAATTCTGCTGCAAGGCGCCGCAGCAAGTCTGCAGCTTCCTGCTGGTCCTGCAGAGTGAGCCCCAATGTCTGCATTGTGTCACGAAAAGTTGCGGGGGTAGCCTATGCTCATGCAAAAGCCTTTGAAGACTTTTCCAACTTTGGGTTGTTTGTTTCAACAGGCATGTTGGACCAGTTCTCCGATTACAAATCATGTATGAATGGTCTATAGCACCCTCCGTAGATCCTGCATCACCTCCTTGGCGACTCCTTGCAATTGTCGGGCCAGCTCCGGAAAGGCTTCGTCATTCTGCGAAGTGAAGTTTCCCTGGCTCGCCTGTCTTCCACTAGTAAGGCAGCTAATTTGGATACATTCAGGGAAGGCTAGTTAACAGAGGAGGAGGCGACCCCTGAAATGTAAGCCCTATGTTTGGTTAGGATTTGGGCCGGGCTGTAGTAGAATTGGCAAACTACCCTGGCAGGAATCTCTGTCAATCCTAACTCTCTACACGTCTGACCGCTCAGCAGTGGCCTGTGTCCCTTGTGTAATCTGTGGAGAATGACAGGCTTCTGCGGGCGTCGTCGCAGACTTCCGGCCCTCTCAAGCTGGACTTGACAGCGACTCAGTTCAGCAGGCCTTCTCCGAAGTTTTTACTGACAATGTCTACGGCTTAGGGTCTGGGATTTAGGGCTGTTTAGGTGAAACTTGCATGATAGCAGTCATTGCCTCGCCGAGCAGCGTGCTTCTGTAAAAACTTCCATGCGCTTCCCCGCTCTGGAACCACAACAACAAAGAGCCGCTTCCAATGTTGTTTCCGTGTAACTGTATATCCCTAAATGGACCCAAGCTCATCTAAACCTTTAACTTCACCATGAGGCTTGTACCCTACCCTCTGTGGGAGGTGACTCGACTTGAAGTATCCAACAAGAGTAGGCAACCCCAAACCCTGACCTCAAACCCTCAAACCAGGCTTACACTATCTTACTCATCATTAAAAACCAAACCTCAAATCCTAAACCCTACAGATCTTGCAATCTGAGCCCTAAATCCTACCTAAAAACTTTAAAGCTTACACCATCCTAAGCCCTACATACCCTAAGCCCTTAAAGCCCCAAAAGCCCCTAAAACCCTCAACCCCCTAAAGACTTAGCTTTGAAACCACGGCCTCCAAACTCTCCAAGGACTGCGCCAGGCTCCAGAAACCCACCGCGCGGGCTTCGACCGCCAGGCCCGTAAGATCCAGGTAGGCCTCACGATCTTTGGGGTTCATAGGCCTGAAACCAACAAGCCCCAGTCTGGGTTTTCGGGATTTAGGGTTGAGTCTTTAGGGCTCTTAGGGCTTTATCGGGTTTAGGTTTTGGCATGTAGGGTTTAGGATTTACCGGTTTCGGATTTAAAGGTTTAGGAGGCTTTGGGGCTGGGGGCGCATAGGATTTCTTGGGAACTCAGTATTTCAGGCCGCCTCTGGAGCCTTTTCCCCAAGAGGCTTTTCGAAAGGTTTGACAGACGGCTCCTGGCCTTGAAACTTTCAGCTCTGAGGTCCCTTTTTGGGTACCCTAAATATGGGGATTGTGGGGACTATATTGGGGTTCTATGGGGATAATGGAAAAGAAAATGGAAACTACTATATTGGGGTTATATAATGTCTTCAAAAGAGCGCTGACGACGTCGTGTTTCCGGCATACACAAAAAGGCGAGAGTTTGGATTGGGATGCGTCTGGGGGTATGCTTCGGGTACGTTTCGCCGGGCCCAGGTCTTGTTCAAAGGGATGCTGGGGGCACACATTTCGAGTTGTATATCTGCGTAATTCAGGATATGCATCCCAGTATGTTTCAGCGTGCGTTTTGCGCGGGTCAAAAGCGCCTCCTTACGTACATTCCTGGCCCTCCAAGAACGACTCCGGGTGCCCAGGGTTTAGGGTTTAGGGTTAGTCTGCAGGATGCATTTAGGTTTGTCCCTCTCGGGGCTGTTGTACAGTGTCAGGAGCTAGCTTCATGTGGGCGGGGCATGGAATGTGCAGCGTTGCAGCCACATCTAATTGCTGTTTTGGTGATGTTGAGGCTTTGGCCCGTAGCAAGACTCCACATGAAGCGAAGAATCAATCAAAGGTGGCTATGGCTCCATCTACGCAACGGATCGGAATGTACGCCGACTATCCACCCCTGAGAACAGCCCAAAATGCCTGCTCAACCTGAAGCCAAAGGCTACATGCCGTGATACCCCCCAGCCGGCGAACAATGAACATTGCCCCAACTGTACCATGTCACGATACTAGGAATATTGACCATCAGCGGTTGGCAGGCTGTATCGCTTTTATGGAGTCTCTATGAAAGAAATTAGTTAGTCAACATATTTTGTGCTGTATGAGGGGGACCCCTACTTATGTTTGGAAACTTGCACATTGTTTAGAAGTTGCTGCGTGTGAAAAGCTGTCAAGCAGCACCCAACAAGCGACCAGAAACCCTGAACCGTGTGATCCCGCCAGCTCAAGGTCGACATTCCTCGCGCCAAGCACAGTGCTCAGCTGCATGATCGAAGCCTCATCCTTCCGGGGACAAGATGCGACAGCGACTGGCTGCTGCCCCGAATCTGCTGGTCCACAACCTTCTACCGATGATCCCTTGATGTGCCCTAGGGGGCCTGAAGGGCAGGAGTGGAAAACACATGGCAAAAACAAAAGGACACCAACGCTTGAGATTTGCAGCTGTGTTTAGGAACCTTAAACAAGACACGCGTGCCGGTCTTGATTTTGGGATCTGATTCCAACGCATGGGAAAGTCATCCTACACCTCAAGGCGCTATTTGCAATTCTAAAGACAATCCTGCAACATGTTTTTCCAAAAGCCTGAGCCCTCAATTGCAAACCTTTGCAGTGACAATTTGACCGTGGATTTGGGACCGCAAGTCCATATCGTTGTCCTGTGCACGAATCGCAAGGACCAGGAAAGCACATGCCTGAAGATTTACAGTGCTGAGTTTGGAGGTTGTGGGCTTGAGATTTAAGCTTTAGGCTGACGATTCTGGCTTTGGAGTTTGTGGTTCGGGGGAAGTCCGCCGACCTTTGGGGGGCGGGATGGTCCCAGGGGAAAACACAGCGCCAAAACATGGCTGCATTTGTCCTGGACCCCACATCCAAGGCAGATGTCTGACGCCCCGCAAAATGAAAAAAAAATGTTTTCGTGATAATCCCCAAGCCGCAGGCCCACAACCATCTGCAACCGTGGCACCCTCATTAGTGCTAGTCATTTCTCAGCCGTACCCCAAGAAGGGCCCTGGGGCCAGTTTTCAAAACGGCCCGTGCTCATGATGCAGATTTTAGGGTTCTGGGGGACCCAAAAATCCTTCAAAAATCCCTCCGTGCCCTGGGGATTCGCTGTTGGAGCACATGTGAACTTAAGGGGCTGCGCCCAGGGGCGGGCAACGCAGGCAGCATATTTTCTTGGGTTCCCTCCCA